TGTATGATAAATGACATCTCTGGGCCCAAGCATAAGGCAAGCTTGGGCTTGTTGCCCTGTTGTAAATATATATTTTTCAGCAATTATTTTCCATAAGTTATTGGTAGTCTAATGGTATTAGCCCTTCAATTTTGGTCTTTTTTTAGTATTTACTATTTAAGAGGCCCAATTGGCTTCGAACCGGCCCAAAAAATCTGAAAATAAGTATATGATTTTTAAAATACTAAAAACGACCAGAAAAGTAGAAAAAGACTCGAACTGCTCAACTTTTCGGCACAATTGAAGGGATATACCATTAGACTGTTGATAAGTTATTGAAAATAATGGCGAAAAATATATAATTACAACAAGGCAGCAAACCCAAGCTTGTCTTGCTTGGGCACAGGGCCATCCCTTATCTTGTACAATATATCAATATTTTAATAACACGATATGGGAGTCGAATCTGAAAATTAGAATTTGTCAAGTGACTTTTTAGTGTTTAAAAATCGGCGGAAAACCACTAAAAACGTAAAGATCTCAAGAGAGATTTTTATTAACTGTTCAGAAAGCTGTTGCAAGTATACAACAGTTTAGCTAATGAATTTCGGATCTCCTCTGTGGAGGATGTACATGTGTAAATATAGTAGTTTAGGTCGGTTAGGGTTAAATCCAAAAAATAAGGAAAACTTCATTTTCTTTCGAGATTTCCCTTTTTCTCGCGGAAGGCTTCCTAGAGATTTTCCTTTGTTCGCGGAAAGCTCTAAGTTGGATATCCACTAAGTTGGCTAGCTCTTGGGCCTCCTCCAAGTCAACCCACTCTGATAAAGGCCCAACGGTCTTCTAGTTAATCATCGGTCCACCGGTTTACTGTTAAACCGTTGTCTTGATAAACGGCCTACCGATATAACTCAACACTTAGTCATTTTTAGAATTGTTGATTCCGGTGGGAGGAATCTAACCCCAATAGTTAGCCCTCAGCTCAGCAGTATTAGTAATGGCAGTGTCGAGGTAAAGAAAGCTTGTTAAGTTAGAATTAACAATCTTGTTTGACGTTTTGAGAATGGAGCGATCCTTCGCTTGCATAGTGTCGAGTCATAGCTTGCCGTCTTGATTCATGGAAAAGCATGATGCTAAATTCTTACACGACTCGCCATTTGACGATGGTGACGCCGAGTCGTGGAGATATAAATGCCGGTCACTAGAAATGGAGAAGCCGACCCGTTTGAAGATGCGGTGCCGAACCGTTTGAACAGTGATGCTGATCCATTTGTTGATGTGATGCCGAACCACTTGAAGACGAAATGCCGAGCCATTTGAAGACTTGAGGCTGTGCTTGCAGACTTTGATGCCGGCCCATTGGCAAAAAAATGACGACCTGTTTATAAGCAGATGTCGACCCTATCGCATCGATGATACCGATCCGAATGACGAAACGATGCCGAGCTGCAACAAAGCTTGCGATGCCTATCCATAACGAAATTCGCATTGCTGAATCAATTTACTTGTATGCCGATCCATGACACTTAACTCCGACGGATCGACATCCTCTCCATATGAACGAAGCTCCCATACTTAGAAAAACATCTCAAATCTTTGGAGAGAAATCGAAGAGTTTCTGCTTGTTCCCGAGGCGTGATAATGCCTATAATATCAAAACCTTCATTCCTTTGCTCATATCTTCGTTTCTCCAAAAAAGGTATCTTCTCTCTTTCCTTTTGCTCTCCATTTATTGCTTAAGTTTTTAGGTTTAGCTTTCATTGTTTATTGATCCGCCGCCGTGCTCCTCTTCTGCCGTCGATTTTATATGAATTTTCCGGCGATTGTTTGAAGAATCCGGTCAATCTTCAAGTTGTTCTTCGACTTGTTCTGGAGGAAACCCGGATCGTTAGTTGGTTTGAGGGTTTAGTATCCGAGATCGATCCGTTTCTCTGTCTAGATCCTCAAACAAATTTGGTCATGTTGTTTCAGAGTTCGAATGAATCCTTTGCTCCTAGCGGTTCATCACCTTCAAGCGAGCCGATCCACGCCGATTCGTTCAACTCATCGATTGACGCCGACACAACTTCTTCATCTCTAGGGGCGGTGAGCCGCTTATCATTTCCCATTCTAGAAGCGGCGAGCCGCTCGTCTTCTCCTGATTTGGAAGCGGCGAGCCGGTTACACCTTCATCTCCTCCAGTGTTTCGGTGGATCCGACAATGACGAGTCGTTGGAAGAAGAACATTCCCTTGGTTTTGGCAACAATCCTTCGCATCTTGGGAGGAAAATTGTGCTCTCTCCTGATTTCCATGAAGCAGGTAGTGGCACCACAAATCCCTTCGAAATTGGAGTCCCTTCGCTAATTGACGAGTCCTTGGATATAACGGCTAACCCCTTCGAAGAAATAAAAGCGGAAGAAATAAGTGGAAATTCGATCCGCTCTTCGAGAAGCACCGATTAGAAGCTTTGTTGGGTGTTGAAATCTCAAAGAAAACTCCTAAG